TATGGGGGTTAATATGGGGAGTACCTAGGGATATAGGGGTTATATAATGACTATATAAGGGTTATATATGGTAATGGGATTAAGGGTCCCTATTAGGGGTCCCTCCTAAAGTCCCTAGAGGAAGACTGCAGCTTGGTGAGTTGTGCCGGGGTAGTACACGCAGTAGCAGTGTGAGGGAAGCTACAGTGCAAATTGCCAACTTACTGCAGTCCTTCTTGTTAAGCTAAATTCTGGGTAAACGCAGAAATATTTCAAGAACTATGTCAATAAATGTTTCAGAAGTGAGATGACAAGGTTCCCACAGTGGATGCAGAAGGCAAACCGCTCGACAAGAAGAAGCTTGCTGCTCTGAAGAAGGACCAGACAAGAGACCCTGATGCCATGATATGAGCTATAGTCTAAACTCCTTAAGCGGGGTTATCTAGGGGATTACTTTGGGGACTAGGGTTATGTAGGGGATTATATAGCGGACTAGGGTTACATAGGGGATTATATAGGGGACTAGTATAGGGGTTATTAAGGGGCATACTGGGAGTTTAGAATACAGCTCATAGGGGGTTTCTTGTCTAGGGTTGCTGCTTAATCAGGATTATGATAGTGTTTCTAATTTTGCATCGGTCCCCTGTTCGCGGAAGCCCCCAAAAGCTGTGCAGCGGCATTAAACGGATGACAAGAATGACAACGAGTTTCGCGGCAGTGTTTGGCAGGATCTTGCTCTGCTTCAGAAGCCGTCGGCGCCTTAAATTGGCCCTGTGTATTTCTGGCCATGTGAAGCCTCGCTGTTGAGGTGGGACAAGTGGCAGAAGGACAAAAAGAAGTATGAGGCCTACTTGTTGTCCAACATTCGGAAGCAATGCCTCGAGAAGTACGCGGAAGTCCAGTACACTGCCAGGGCCTTGAGACACATCCTATTCCTCTTTCTCGCTGCATCCCCGCTAGCAATGAACAAGTGTAAGTCGAATGCAGTCAATGGCTGCCATATTATTCCACGAGCAACGCGACGTAAGACCGTATGAGCTATAGTCTACAATCTTTAACGGGGTTTTACAGGGCAATATATCTTGGGGAGTATTACACGGTTTACTAAGGGGGATACTCGGAGTTCAGACTAATCATAGCTAATATCTTTCCAAGGATGCTGATCTCTCCTGCAATTGGATTCCTGCCAAGGCGTAATGTGCTAACCTTCGGTGAGGAGATGGGAAGTGGGAATTCTCCAGACAAACCATAAAGAATCTCCATCCCCTCATGAACTACATATATACATGTATATTTCTATGATGTCTGAGGAAGAGGTGGAGCACCTTCGACCTTTGTCGCCTACTTCCCGGTCTGCCCCTTGGGTAGTGGAAACAGTCAAAGCGGATGAGGCTGATGTAGGATTGTCATATTATCATTGCTACCATTTTTACAAGTATAACAATACTACTGTTATTACTCTTATTCTTACTATTGCTATTTTGACTTTGGGTTCGCATCTGTAGCAGACAAGCTTCAATCGCAACCTTTTAGGCCCTTGAACTGAGTCTTCAAACAGGTTGAGGGATGGTGGGGCGGTAGATACATGAGACAGAGTATACTCACATTAATAGCAAAGCTGCTGAACATGAGAGGCTCAGCTTACATGCTTGCAGACCGCTGTGTAGTCAGGCTGAACTCTGCAGAGGAACAGCTTAGATCCCTGTAAAACCGCTATAGAATTAGTTTCGCTTTGATGTTCCCTTTCGCTGAATTCTCCAGATTGTTGGGGATACTATCCCCAAACCCGCTGAAATCGGTCGACTTTGCTCAAACCACCAGTCAGAGCCGCGGTCTTCGGTTCTGTCACGTTACTACACAAACCAAGTGTTCACCACTTATCTCATCGCTTGTAAAGGCAAGCTCCAGCCACACCAGCACAAGTAACAGCCTAAGGCTTAAAGCAGATGAGATCCAGTGGAGCCATGGCCGGGGGCGCCTGGCTGGGAAATTCCCAGCACAAGGAGCGCAATGATATCGAGGAGCGGTTGAAGCGCCACAAGGCTGCTCTGCTCTCACAGGCGGCCCAGGGTAAGGATGCCAGTCGGGTTCGGGAGCTCCTCTTGGAGAGGGCTGATCCTAACATGGCGGATGAGAACGACCGGTGGCCTCTCAAGGAGGCAGCCTTTGCCGGGGAGGCGGACGTGCTCGAGGTGCTGCTCAAAGCCCGCGCCGACCCCAACCTGCCGGGAGAAGGTGATCGGGCACTCCACGTCTCCGCCTGGCAGGGCTACCAGGTGGTCACCAGCCACCTCCTGGAGTTCTCCGCGGATGTGGAAGCCACTGATGCCAGCGGCTACAGTCCTCTTTGTGGTGCCGCCCTCAAGGGCCATACAGGCATTGTCCGGCTGTTGCTGGACTACGGCGCCAACCCCTCCCGGTCTGTCAACGTTACAGGGCATGGGAAGCTGAACCCGCTGAGGGCAGCAAAGGAAGGCCGCTTCCTTGAGGTAGCCGAGGTGCTCAAGGAAGCCATTGCCCAGGGGGAGAAGCAACCAAAGAAAGGTCTGATGTCGGCCGTTGCTGGTCTCGGAGGGTTTGGGAACGTCTTAGAGCGGAAGGCATCGCAGCAAAGTGGGCGGCTGACGCCGGCTAGGGGCACCCCGGAGAGTGTCTCCAGCCGGCGCTCAGATGCCTCCGCCCATTTGGTGGCCGTGTCGGACTGCCTCAAGGGCTGTTGCTGCTGCTGTGGTCAGCAGAAACTGACTCTGACCGGCGTTGGCAAAGCCACGTGACTCAGTGCAGAAGACATCAGAAGTTCTCCGATGCCTTGGGGTGAGGACAACGGCACCAGAGCCATTTGAGCTTGCCCCGCCGCTGTCCATCGCGCGCCTTCCGAATTTACGGGGCTGAGCTCTGATGAGTTTGACCCGTGCATTGTTCATGGTCCCTACTCCTCTTGGTCGAGATGCGTGGATTTGGGATTTTTGAATGGATCTGTAAGCTGCTACAAGCATGCTTGGAAGCTATGTGCTGTTTGGTTTCTTACTCATTGCAAAATGCAATATCATGGCATACCATACCGAGGGTGCAAAGAAAAGGCCATGAGCGTCAGCGCTAGTCATGGTTGCTTTTTCGCAAGCCTCTCAAAAAGGTTGTAGTTTCCCAAAATAGGGGGACCCCAATATAGACCTCAATATACTATAATCCTTATTCTGGGGACCCCCAAAAAGGTACCCCTAATTTCGATTACGAAAACCTCTGCAGGACACCGCTGGTTGTGGTGGTTGAGGAGGTTCCAGAAGACCCGAACAGGGCAGTCTGGTCCGATGAGTGTCGCGCTAAGTGGGGGTTTCCCAAAATTATGGGTACCTTTTTGGGGGTCCCCAGAATAAGTAGTATAGTATATTGAGGTCTATATTGGGGTCCCCCTATTTTGGGAAACTACCAAGTGTGCTGAAGCAAATAATGCGCCTCACAGTCACCATCCTTCAAAGCCTTAACTTCTTGGTTCAAAGTAGGGAATAAGGCAGTATAACACCTATAGAATCCCTATATGATATGCTTGCCATATTCCCTACTAACCCCCAACCCCAAATACTAGTCTCCATTTTCTTTTCCATTACCTTTATATAAGGCTATATAATACGTTCCCATACTTCCTACCAAGAACCAACAAGTCCCTGAACCCTACGGATTTCCAGGATTGAGCAGGTCAGCGGTCAGCGCTTGGATCCCAAAGTTCGCAAGGACCGGTGACCTCGCAATAGCCTACGAGGATGAAACCCTAAACCCTATAAACCCTATCAACAACATAACCCTATAAACCCTATAAACCCCCTATGAACCCTATAAGCAACATAACCCCATAAACCCTCTAAACCCTTTACCCTACCACCTAAACCCTAGACCGCACGCCCGCAAGGACAAGAATGTGTCCAAAAAGCTCAAAGGCCTGGAGGAAGCGGAGCTACAATTTTCTGGGGGTAAGTAGGGAATGAGGGGTTTAGGGTCCCTAAACCTTAAACCCTAAACCCTAAACCTTAAACCCTAAACCCTAAACAGGGAAGGGATGTCGCTCAGGGCCTTGTTTCGCCTTTCCTGCTACAAAGATTTGGCTCAGAATAGTGGGCCCATGACGCGAGGAAGACATCCTGTGTGTTCCGGTTTCTGTCTGCGCATATGGTAGTTTCCCAAAATAGGGGGGGACCCCAATATAGACCCCCAAATACTACAATCCTGACTATAGGGACCTCCAGCAAGGTACCCCTAATTTTGTGCCGTCCCCATATCGGTGGGACAGGACAGATGCTTCAAGTCTGCAAATGTGCATGACCCTCTCCTTAACAAGCTGATGGCCTGGACCTCAGTCCGGGGACATTGAAACGATGCGAAATATGGGGGTTTCCCAAAAT